CACGGATGCCAGAACTCAGGAGGAGGAGGAGGAGGAGGAGGAGGGTGAGAGGGCCAGGGCAACAAGAGGATGAGTAGCAGGTAAGTGGTAAATGAAACATAGGTGGACGAGGTGGATGAGGTGGAAGGCGCCTCCTCTGTCCTCCTCATGTTCCATCCTCCGTCATCCTCCTCCCTACTCCTCCCCTCCTCCCTACTCCTCCCCTCCTCCCTACTCCTCCTCCCTCCTCCCTACTCCTCCCCCCTCTGGGGGTCGATGGGCATGCAGCTCAATCCTCCACTCCTCGACCTCCCCCTGGAGGGGCTGCCGGAAAGCTTCCAACTGCGAGGGCCACGAACGCACCTGGCCGAGCGGGGGGGGCCCCTTGCCCCACGTCGCAGTCGTCTCCTCCGTCGTCGCAGTCTGCCTGCAATCCGCCCCGAGGCTTCGCGATCGAGGTCCGCTTCGAGGCCCCGCCGTGCTACCCAGACGAGCCAGAGTTCGATGCGCTGAAGGCAGAGCTCGAGCAGATTTTCAGCTCGCAGCCCAGCTAGGGCCAGACTCCAGCGCACGCGTTTCAAGAGCCCATGGGTGGTTCAATATGTCTGCATTTTGCGGACGCTTCAGTGCCGCGAGCGCGGGGCTCGAGTCGCTCGCCACGGCGCGCTGCAAGTTGTAGTCCTACTCCTCCGCTGCTCCCTCGATCGTCCTCCGCTGCTCCCTCGATCGTCCTCTGCTGCTCCTTCTGCTTCTGCCCATCCTCACGGCCCTCGCTGCTTCCCCCGCCGCGCCTCCCTCGTTCTTTCTCACCTCCCCTCTCGTCATCTCCTGTCTGCCCGAGGCCCCCGGCTCGAGCGATGAGGAGAGCTTCCGCGAAACGGACGCGACGCGCTGACCTGCTGCCCCCCCCACCCCCCCCTCCCCAATGGCCCAGCTGTCGAAGTGGTCTCGTCTGGGGATGAGGGCGGACCCGAGATAGCTGCCCCTGGGGACCCAGCGGGGACGGAGTTCCTGCAATTCTTGTTGAAGCTATGGGCTTTGGCAAAGCCTTTCTCTGACAAAGATATTTGCAGCATCGCCTGGTTCGCCCAGAAGGCAGGCGCGACGGGGGTTCGAAAGTTGGCCGTGGACCCGAAGACAGAGGGGTACAACCACCGTCGAACAATTCGGAAAGTCACCACTCCTTTCCAGCTGGGTATAGTGTACAACGTCGACAATGTGCCAATGTGGTCGTGTTCGAAGAATACTCGCGCGTTTGGAAACATTCCCATTAGGCTGCCACTTGGCGCACTTAACGACGAGTTCAAAAGAAACCCTGACATATTCAAAGCAAGCTGCAGCTATCCAGATACAATATATTCTCAGAGTTATTACAACCACCCTCTGGCCCGGCTGCACGGCAGTGAGCACGTGACCCCTCTTAGGTTATACTCTGACAAGGTGCGAGTTTATAAGGAAGATTCGTTCACGAGATTATCGATATCCATATGTTGGTCCCCAAAGAGATGGACTATATTCAGTGTGCTTTCAAGCGCGTTGTGCAAGTGTGGGTGCAACGGGCGATGCACGTTGGACGCCTTGCAGCGCGCCGTCAACGCATCGTGCAACGACGTGCAGCGAGCTCGCCACCCCATGAATAGGCCCTGGGGGGCGGAACGGGGGAGGCGAGGAGGGAATGAGAGGGAGGGAGGGAGAAAGGGGGAGTACGATGAGCGAAAGGAGGAGGAGGAGGAGGGGGAGGAGGAAGAGGAGGAGGAAGAGGAGGGAAGGGAAACGGGGACGGAGGGAGGGAGGGAATAAGACGGACGGAAGGGGGGATAGGGGTAAGACGGGGGGCGGAGCAGGGGGATAGGGAAATGGGGAGGGATAGAGGCACGACGGCTCGGCATTCGTGAGCAAGCGCGACGCTCGCCGCCGAGATGTGGCTGGTGCGCCGCTGGAGTGGCGCGGGGCAATCTGTGAATATGTAGGCAGGGCTCGACCTCCAATACATTTTTTTAGGTGCTCCGTGGGTGCAGTCGCATGGAGGCGCGGAAAGATTTCCAGGCCCCCTCCCCCACCCACTGGGAATGTCAACAAACTGCAAACTTCCTGGACCCTCGGTTCTCCATGTCTTCCATCCCTGACCCTCCAGGGACAACGCACTCCTAGCGGCGACGCCCCGTGAGTCCGGCGCGGGTGGGCACGTTGAGCCCCGCAGGCGATTGGCCTGAGATGTGCTATATGATGGCCTTGAAGATGTTCAAGGCAGTGGAGCGCCCGTGCAAAGATTGCGATTGCAGAGATGAGACGATGTTTGATTTTGACGGCACCACGTTCCATAACACGAAGTTCGTTAGGAACACGCACGAAATTATAGACAGTGAATGGCGCAAACAATTGGTGCCAGTAGCAATCAGCACACAAATCGAGAAGGATACCCTCATCAATTCTATGCAGTATTTTAAGATTTGGCCTTACGGTTACCGCGTCACTAGGGCCGTGCGCATCGGTAACGTTGAGCTCCAGCGAATGGATAAGGTCTTGTGCAACTACGCGTTGCTAGATATAGGTGCTATGATATCGATGCCTGTGCCGTGCATCCTCATGTTTTTGCAGGCCTGCGAAGATGTCTGGTCTCACGGGTTGCTCGATGCTGTGGAGCGTCGACGGCGCGCATAATTGGAGGGGGAGGGCGGGCAGCGCAAATGCGTTGCAACGCGTGAGGGAACGAGGAAGATAGGAATTATATCATATAGATATTTGGTTTACACATGCACACATATGTACACAGATATATGCACATAGGGAGAAGGGGGGGGGAAGAGAGAGAGAGAGAGAGAGAGAGAGAGAGAGAGAGAGAGAGAGAGAGAGAGAGAGAGAGAGAAAGGAGAGAGAGAGGAGAGAGAGAGAGAGGAAGAGAGAGAAAGAGAGAGGGAGAGAGAGCGAGAGAGGGAGAGAAGAAGGAGAGAGAGAGAGAGGGGAGAAGAGAAGAGAGAAGAGAGGAGAGAGGAGAGGAGAAGAGAGAGAGAGATAAAACAAGAAAGAGGGCAACAGAGAGGCATGAGCAATCAGGCGGGGGCGCCTGCCGTGACTGACGCTGGTGTCGGCCGCCCCTGAACGGCCTGCCTCCCTTGGGGCGGGGGGTGGAGGCAAGTCGGCGTCGGACGGAGGAGGAGGGATAATCAGGAGGAGGATCGAGAGAGGGAGGCGAAGGGCGACGACAAGGACGAGGAGGATGGGGGCACGTCAGAGGGGCCGAGGCCAACAGTGCGAGGGGAGGGGAATTGAATACTTTCGGTGCGATTTCTGCGTCGACGACGCGCTGCGCTGCCTAGACCTCGGAGTCTGGCAGAAGTATCAGGGGCTGGCTCTGACGCGCCTAATAGAAGCCAACGTTGCCAAGTCGGACCATACTATCAAAGAGGAGCGCAACCAGGCCAACATTGTATGGCTTCGCCGCGCTATGAGAAGGTTTTACGAGCGAGTTCACTCGGCCGATCCTTTGAAGAAAGTTTCGAAGATCGACCGCCTCACACTCGGGATGCTAGGTGATTCGAAGACCTCCACGTCTCGGGACCCGACTTTGAAGGCTAAAGGCGGAGAAACCAAGCAGGTCCTCCCTTTTACGGTTAAGATGATGGAATTGCACGGACACCTCCTTGATGGAGGGCCCCATTTGCTGGCAGCGGGCACGCGCGCACTCCGAGCAGCACAGATTATGAAATCAAGCCCCCGTTTGTTGCCGTTCCCTCTGTGCCAAGAGCTCTTAGATACAATGCTGTGCCATATTGTGCAATATAAGCTCGCTGGCGGCAACCACATTCCGAAGCGCCACCAAGGTGTCCATATGGCATTAGATTCGGCCGTGTACGGAAATCCGTCCACATACACAACTTACACAGATGAGCACGAGAATGGCATATCAAAGCGCATGTCGCAAGCGACGCGCCCCAAGAATTTTGCAGAGAGTTTTTTTTCGAGCGCGCTCTGTGCATAGACGACCTGGAGTTTGTCCAGGCTTGATAAATGGGATGCGGAGGCAGGAGTTGGAGGATGGGGAGGAGGACGAGGATGAGGAGGTGGCGAACGACGGCGACGACGATCACCCTTGATCGTTGTCGCGGAGTGGAGCTCCCTGGCGACGCCGTTTCAGCCGCGGCGGAATGATGCGGAGGGGGGCGTGCGGAGAGGGGGAGCGCAAAGGACGACGTGCTGGGGAAAGCGCTGAGCCCTCCCCCGCTCCTCCGTCCACTTCCCTCCTCCCTCCTCTTCCTACCTCCTCTTCCTCCCTCCTCTTCCTCCTTCACTCCCTCCTTCCTTTTCTTTGGAACTGAGTGTCCTCCTCATCCTCCCTCCCGGCTCCTGCCGCCGCCGCCGCCGTCGTCGACGCCGTCGTTGCGGCGTGAAGGCCTTCACTCCGCAGGCCAGCGCCCGCTCCGGGGAGGAGGAGGAGGAGGAGGAGAAGGAGGGGGAGGAGGAGGAGGAGAAGGAGGGGGAGGAGGAGGAGGAGGAGGAGGAGGGGGAGCAGGATCAGAAGGAGGAGGAAGGCGAGGAGTGAGGTGGAGCGGAGGAGGATGCGGAGGAACATCGAGGAGAAGGAAAGAGGAGGAGATGGGAGGAGGGTCGTCGTCGTCGTAGTCGGGGGGAGGAGGAGGAGGGCGACGACGAGGATCGAGGACGAGCCGGCTTTCGGTCGTCGAGCCGGCCCCCGACGCTCTTCGATGGCCGCCGAGGTTTCGGGGCCAAGATAACCGCGAACATCTGGCAGGGAGTTAAATTTAAGTCCGGCCCCCCCGCATGCATCCATGGACCTCCATAGGTTAAAAACATTTGGGTTTAGGTTTTTTTGAATCCAGGCTAAGTTTTTAGGTTTTTTAATCCTCGACCTCTGATTCTGAAGGCTGCCCTCAGATCCCGAGGGCACGTGGAGGTCTGGGAAGTCCACCAGCCGACGAATCGACGCAGGCATGCTGCAGCATGATCACATAAGTACATTTGAAACATGAACATGGTAACATACATACATGACAGAAACACAGTTAAAACATACATGTGAATAACAAATCGGCGGTCCGATGTGCAAAGCACGATGGATAGCGCCGCCCTGACGCGAGCGTCTGCGCGCGCATCTGGAGTGCGGGCGTCGCCGTGCCCACGCGCGCGGCCAGCGCGGCGCTGAGGCGCGCCTTGTGGCTGTCCGCGAAGCCCGACGCGGTGATGCGATTCTGCAGGGTAGGTGCTTGGGCAGCCCCGATCGCCCCCAAGTTGCGAAGCTGCAGCTGCGCGCTCATGGACAAGGCGGACTGGCTCTGCGCCATCGCGTCGGCGGCGATGGCGCCGATCTGCGATGCGAAGAAAGCGTCGCAGCTGTCCAGGTTATCCAGGATGTGTTTGATGGGTGTGGCCGCAGCCGCGGCAGCCATGATGCCCTCCGCGAGGGCGAGGGGGTGCGCGGACGCTCCGAGGGGAAGCGCGAGGGAGGGCCCCCCGCACTGCGAGAGCTGAAGCACTCGGCTGCTGAGGTGGAAGAGAGGCCACAACAGTACAGATGCGCTGCAGCGCAACGATCGCATGCAATTAAGGAAAACACGTGAGCGCTGCAGCGCTCAGCAGAACTCATCGTCACAAAGTAACATGAAGCGCTGCAGCGCTATGCATGCGCACCACGATGGAACGCATGGTAGTGGGCAATACGGAGAGAGATATAGAGTGATGGAGAGGAGAGGAGGGAGATAATGAGGGACACGGGGGGGGGGGGGTGCGGGGAGAGATGCGAGGAGACACGGGAGGGAAGGACACGAGCGCGGGCGGGCGGGCGGGCAGGACACGGGGGGAGATGCATGATCATTTGAGGAACACGGAAGGGCCGGTGCGAAAGACACGGAGGGGTGGGAGGGGCATGGGAGAAACACGGGGGGTGGGGGGGGGGGGCGCGGAAGAGACGCGGGGGGGGCGCGGGAGTTCGGGGGCGAGCGGGCGGGCGGACGCGGGGGCGGCGCGGAGGGGCACGGGCGGGGGCGCACGGAAGGCAGGTGGAGACGCGGAAGGGGCACGGGAGAGACGCGGGAGAGAGACGGGAGACGGATAGGTATACACGGGAGCTCGGGAGCGGGCGGGCGGGCAGACACAGGAGGGACACGGAAGGTGTCCGAGGAGGGCGCGGGACGGATTCAGGAGATGCGCGAAGTGTGATCAGGGGCAAATACCGAGGCGATCTGGGAGCCTCGAAGGCAGCTGGGACATCGACAGAGGCGTGTCTGTTCAATAGAGGGGGCTATTGAACAGACACGGGCGTGGCTGTTGAATAGAGGGGGCTATTGAACATGGCATGTTCAATAGAGGGGGCTATTGAACAGACACGGGCGTGGCTGTTCAATAGAGGGGGCTATTGAACATGGCATGTTCAATAGAGGGGGCTATTGAACAGACACGGGCGTGGCTGTTCTATAGAGGGGGCTATTGAACAGACACGCCGCTGTCAGACAGCATCACCTCTGCAGAGGGGCACCGACGCTCTCAGATCGCTTCACCCGAAGCTCCCGTTCGACCTCAGATCAGCCATCCTGATGTCAACATCCAGCACTCCAGCCCACCCCAACGCCCACCCACGCAGTCCCAGAACACTGTCCACACTGCTGATTTCGAGGTGGGAGTGAAACTAAGAGAGGCGCGAAGTACATCACGCGGCGCTGCTGCAGCAGCGTCGCGACGAGGTTGACGATGCCGAAACCGCTGTCAACTGCAAAGGTTTACGCTCGCGGCGCTGCTGCAGCAGCGTCGCGTTGGCTCGAGACTGCTGAGGACACGGCTGATGGGGGCTGGTGAGGCTGCCAGGAGGCCATGGGGGGAGCTACTCGGCGGCGCAACGAACTGTGCTGAAGGGGAGCAGGGAGAGTGGCGAAGGGCGATGCGATGCGAGACGGTTTGCCATCTGAAGTGCCCCAGAATCCCCCCAAGTGCCCCCGAACTTTCCTGGCCAATCCAAGGCCGACCCCTGGCACATCATTCCAGACGAAAAAATGTCAGCGGACCAGGATGTGAACGTCGACGATGGCAGATAGATGTGGTGAGGATATCGGCGCGCCTTTTTGGGCGACAGCGCGGGCGCACCACGCGATCTGGCGCACGAAAGATAACTTGGCCTAAACACATGCATGCGTCGGCGTCAGCTATGCTCGCGAACTGATCCAATCCACCCCCACTGCTCCCATTGATCTTACATGTTGGGTTGCTACAGCATGTATCCTCTCACTATGCGTTCGCTGTCTCCCTCGCTCACGGGAGAGTGGATACCCGCTGCAGCGGGCATCCTGTCTATCGTCTCTCTCCAAGGTGTCTTCACTCCCCCCCCCCGCGCTGCGTCTCCATCGTCCCCCTCGCATTCCCTATGTATATCACGTCTCCCCCTGTCTACCTCTACTATAGTCCCCCCTTCTCCCCTTGTCTACCTCTACAGCGTTGCCGTCCCATTCCGTCGCCCACCAGTAGTGGAATGATCCGCGGCCGCGCCGCAGCTCTCACGTGGCGCCCGCATGGCGCAGGCGCTGCATAGCGCACGGGCCTCCTCGGCGCAGGCGCTGCATAGCGCACGGGCCCCCCTCAGCGGCCAGCGCTGGCGCTGCATAGCGCACGGGCCTCCTCAGCGGCCAGCGCAGGCGCCTCCTCGGCGGCCTCCTCAGCGCCAGCAGCGCCCATGGATCCTGCGCCGAATCCTTCGCGTCGTCGGCGCCGACCCAGACCTGTGCAGGCCCAGCGTGGAACTCCTCCGCGAGGGCGGCCGCGTCGGCGTACTCGCCCTGCAGCAACAGCTCGCAGAGCTGCTGCGCCCGATTGAACCAGCCGCCACGCCGCTGCTGATCCCCGTCGCGGACAAGCTTGCCCTTGCCACCCTTGCCCTTGTCCTTGCCCTTGCCCTTGCAAGGTGGGCCGCCGCCGCCCTTGTCCTTGCCCTTGCCCTTGCCGCAAGGTGGGCCGCCGCTGCCGCTGGGGCAGCCGAAGTTGTCCTTGTCCTTGTCCTTGCCCTTGCCCTTGCAAGGTGGGCCGTCGCTGCCGCCCTTGCCGCGCGGGGCGGCGCGCGACTTCGGCCGCGCCTTCGGCGGCGTGCTGGGCGCCCTAGGGCCTGCAGCCTCCTCGACCGCGGGGCCCCGCGGCTCGAACCCTGGCGGCGGCACAGCAGGCGGCATCGGCCGCATGATCGGAGCAGCCTCCTCGGCGAACTCCTCGGCGCCCTCGTCGTAGTCGAGATGCGACGCCATCGCTGCGCGATGCAGCGAGCGAAGCTGCAGCTCGCCAAGCTGCATGATGGGCTTGGTTTCCACCACCAGTGCCATAGGTTGGAGGGGGAGGTCCTCCTCCTCCTCTTCTTTCTCCTCCCCCTCCTTCTCCAACATATGGTAGTGGTGGTGGAAACCAGCCCCATCACTGCAGCTGAAGCTGCAATCGGGCGCGCGGGCGCGCGACGCTGCAGCGCGCGAAGCTGCAGCTGCAGCTGCGCGGAACAAAATCAGCGGCTGTGCCAACGACGAATGCGATGGCGACGACGCTGACGACGATGGGCCCCTGCTAACCAGTCGGCTGACCCCCCAAAGTAACATCGCCCCGCAAAGTAACATCACCCCCAACTGAACCTCCGAGGGCCAACGACTGGATTGACCTCCCCAGGGCTGCCCCCTCAGGATAGGAGGAGGAGGAGGAGGAGGAGGAGGATTGGAGGGAGAGGAGGGGGGGGAGGAGGAGGGGGGGCAGGAGAAGGAGGAGGAGGAGGATGAGGAGGAGGAGAAGGAGAGGGAGGAGGAGGAGGAGGAGGAGAAGGAGGAGTAGGAGAATGCGAGGGAGGATGAGGATGAGGATGAGGAGGGGGAGGAGGAGGAGGAGGAGGAGGAGGGGGAGGAGGAGGAGGAGGAGGAGGAGGAGGAGGACGAGAGGGAAGATGTGGAGGCAGGAGTAGGCAGAAGGAGCGGGGGGGCGGGGCATGGGTGCCAACTGGTTGTCTTCCTCCTCCTCCTCCTCGTCATGCTCCTCGCCCTCGGCCTCCTTCTCCTCCTCCTCCTCCTCATCTTCATCATCCTGCCCCCCTTCCCCTGCTCCGAGGTGCTGGCAGCGAGCGGTGGGAACCTGTGAAAATGAGGGCGTTCCAGAACGTCGTCCTCAATGTCGTCGTCCACCTGATCACCCTCCTCCTCCTCATCGTCATCCTCCCTCCACCTTCTTCTCCTGCATGCGCTGCTCTGAATTACGTCGTCTTTGAAGCCGTCTTCGTTGTCTCTGTCGCCGTCGCCGCCGTCGCGATGCTGTCTCCGACTGAAACAGTGGTACTGCAGCACCGACCGCGCGCGCGCCGCGCGCCCATCACTTCCGCGGCTTCTTCGCCACGTGGTATTGGACGGCCGGCGCAACCGCTGTCTCGCGGTCCCCGCGCTGAAGCGCTTCCCGAAGCATGTCGCGCACAAGCTTCCACATGCCAACCTTGGTCTCAGCATCGCGCTTGCGCGCGGCTGCAGCCGCGCGCGGGGCTGGCGCATCACTGGCGGCTGCAGCCGCGGTCCTCGTCGACGTCGGAGGCGGCGGTGGCGGCGGCGGCGGCGGGGGAGGGGGAGTAGCCGCACATGTCGCATCCGATGCAGCGGACTTCGCCTTCGGCGGCGGCACTGGCTCCGAGGGAAACCGCCATGGCGGCGTCGCTGCACTCATGTTGGCCGCCATTGGTGTTCTGATCACAGGTGGCTGCGAACCACATGCAGTAACATAATGCGAACATGCGGGCTGCAAGCGCGATCGAAGCGCTACATCAACACGCCAGACACACAAAATGTAAGTCAGCGCTGCAGCGCGATGCAACACTCTGGCATCGGCACGCCAGACACCCGAACGTTAGTCAGCGCTGCAGCACGATGGACTCCAAACACACGAAACGCAAGTCAGCGCTGCAGCGCCGTGAGGTCACACATCGACGGCGGTAGCGCGTGAGAGGCACACTTGATCGTAGTGTCGTCGTGCTGCAGCATGCTTGATCATACCAACGATTCGCAATGGCACCAACAGTAGCGAACATTGGGGGGATCTACCAGCAATCCACAATTATTATCCCAATCCTCCTCCTCGTTCCCCCCCTCGCCCTCGCCCTCGTGCTCGTCCTCCTCACTGCCATTCTCAATCGCACTGCCGACCGTGATCGCACGCCCCAGCGATGCGGTCGACCGAGCGCGCCGCAGCTTAGACCGAGTCGGCCTCCTCCTCCGCATCGCCCTCCGCCTCCGCTTCCATCTCCTGGAGCTCCTCCGCTTCGCAATCCTTGAGTTCGGCGGTGCACCACTTCGCCGCGGCCGCTTCAGCGTCATCCTTGCTGCAGCCGCGGTTTGTGTGGAACAAGGCCGTCCTGCTGCAACCGCAGTCTGTGCGGGCGGCCCGCCAAGCTTGGAGCCGCTGCGCC